TTTGCATAGATAAAAATGATATTTTTTACAATCATCCAAACTTCCTAAAAAAAGAAATGCTTTTGATGAGAAAGTTGCTGACATTTCGGCGGTTACTTATACTTTGTAAGTGATTTTGTGACTCAGAGTTTTAATTTACAGGGTAAACCGCATAATATGACCACCTCTATTATTTTCATTGTTAGTGGACCGATCAAAATTGTTTTTGTTGTAGATGTTTAATAAATAATATTCATTTTTATCTAGCGGGATGATATGACAATAAAAACATCTAGGCGAAAAATAATTTTGTATTTCTTCGGCGTTACACAAGTGTAAAGTACTTTTGCAAGGCTAGAAAGAAATTCCGCAGAAGGAATGCGGGTTTGATTGGGTTGCCTTCATAAAAGCCCTCCTTCTCTAATATAATCATAGAAATCGGGCACACGTATTGTCATTATTGGCCGAATGCGATAATACCGACGAATCGAATCATATAGCATCAGGTAACAGAAGAATACGACGGCGCGAGCAAAGTATCCGTCTTGCTCTGTGCCGTCCCACGATATTTCTTTCTAGCCGCGAACACTACATAGAAACTGGTAGTCAATATTTTAAACATATAGTTTAATTTTAAGTAAGTTCGAAGTTTAAGATTAGAGATATCACATGTCATTTAGTTTATACAAAATCACTTTTTGCCTGAATGTTTTTATCGCCGTGTCATTCCATTACATAAAAAACATTTTGTATTAAGCTTATTGAATTCGTCTCTATGCCTGCTAGCTGATAGACAACATAAAACTATAAAGTTTCACATAAAGTTGAAGATGTCCTTAGAAACTTAGTTAAAAAGAGATCACTTTGAAGGTCCTTCAAAACGGTATTATCTATGACAAAAAAAAATTTGGATCGGTCCACTAACAATGAAAATAATAGAGGTAGTCACGTTATCCGTTTCACCCTGTATATCTCTGAACCTGAAAAACGTACAGATACAAATATTCCCTTATATTCCACTTAAATTCCATTTTACTAATGTATTGTTGAGATTTATAATTTCTTTTGATAAATATAGTGTATTACAGCATCCCTTTTTATGTATGAAATTATAATTTATTTCTTATTAAATAAGTCTGTCAAAAATGTGTATAAAGTTTATTAAATTTATTCAAAAGACTTTCAGATTTCATTATAATTGGTATGTGGAGAAAATAATGGTCCACGGTATGTTAAGTGGCAGTTCGATTCCAAATTTGAAAAGCCTGCTTAAAAAATTATTAGAAAGTTGTTGAAGGTAAAAAACAGGCCGATTTTGTTCATATACAATCACTTAGCCGTATCAAAAAATATAATAACCCTGATATATATAGAGCGAGAAAAGGGGGAGGGGGAGAGCGTGTGTACAATAAAACGTGTTGCATCCAGAAAACAATATTTTGTGTCAAAAATATTAAGATTTGTTATACTTCCACGCGATCACTAATTATCTTAAATTCTTAGATTATTTTAATATCGAAATTAGCAGTGTGCGTTGCGTTTTTAGGTACTTTCCGTGCAAGAAATATATACCTAGAAGATTTTTGACGCTCACATTCAATTTCGATGTTTGATTTAAAGGTTTAATGAGTTATTAGATATTGATCATGCGGAATTATTAAAAATTCTAATTTCGGCGCAAAATTTGTTTACTAAATGCCCCATAGTTTGCAGGATACTCTGTATATGTGTACATACGTACGGCGTAATATGTATAACTGCCTGTTAACCTCTTTTTGTCACATTCTAAGCAGTGAACATCTTCAAGAGTATTTATTTGATCAAACAGTGATACAAATTTTAACAAGTACAAAAATGGATTTTATCATTTATTTTGTACATTTTGATTTAATTCCAGATGTTATCGACGCACTCTCTTAGTGATACATTTCCTTCAAAGGAATAACTGCTTTTCCATATAAACTTGTTTCCAAATTCCATCACTTTTTCTTGCTTAAATCTTGGCAGAAAGAGGTTAAAAATGCGTCTTTTTCGAATGCACGAGAAATGCACATGTAAAAAATGCAAGTATAAAAGACATCGTCGCTTCTGTTCTCTTCTTTTTCTTCTCAATTTCATTCTGTGATTCTCAAAGATTTAATTTTAAGTGCATCAAGAAATCCGTCAGAACAAAGCCTTCCTTTCTAAAACACAATTGGTGTAATTAAAGTGATTCTTTAAAAAATTTGAAAAACTTCAATATGCAGGATATCTGTTTTAACTGGACACAATGGAATGTCTCATAAAAAATTGAAAGTATAAAAAAAATGTTCATACAAAGGTCGTCTGATATGAAAGGAGACATTTTACATGGTATAATTCATTTTTCCCAAATGGAGCAGGGGGAAATTTTAAGGTCGTTATTTTTTTTTTTTTTTTAAATGAAACGTTTTATTTTTTATGTTTAATATTATAGCGTTTGTTCAGCCGAATTCCAACCAGGCACAACATTACGTCATTTCGTTTTATGGAAAGTAGTAAAATCATGAAAAATTTGTATTAGTAACACAGGCAAGTAGGGTTTAGTTGGCCGAAAGAGGCATGCGACCCGTGTTGACTTATCTTCCAGGGTCTTCATTTACTTGCACTTAGTATAGAACCTCGTTTAATTCGTGTCAACAAGCGCCTCCAATATTATGAATAAAAATATAGCGTTCTATTTATGAAAAAATTAACTTTGAAATCTCCCCTACTGCTCTACCTGCAAAAAAAAAAAAAAAAAAAGATTTATACCAGATAATGTCACGACTCCATACCAAACAACTTCTGCAAAAACATTATTTCGATATCTTCAGTTCTTTATAAGATATTTCATCGTGTTCTCTTAAAGCAAACACCCTGTGTATATTGTTTGAGAACAACTGATTGTTATTGCGATCATATTTGTAGATTCATGCACATTAAGAAATAGCGATCAGAAAGCATGCGTAGACTTTTCGATGCACTTAAAATCAAATAATACAAAACGGAAAAGTTTTCGATCTACGATCGGCCCTAAGTACCAATTGAAAAATCTCGATCGTCGATTTCTGGTTCGTTCCGAGAGGCGAGTCATTTCCATCGAAAACAAAAAAACATTACTTGAAAATAAATCAAGAAGAATATAACTAATAAATTCGAATAAACCATAAATAGTAAAATTACTCTTAAAAATAATAATACTTTTTTTTCTTCAAAATGTGACACCTAAATTAGAGCCCCCCGTCTCTGTGAATTGTTTATACATAAAAAAAATTACTATTTACTTTTTCTTAAACGTTCATCAACTTTCCACTATTTGTATACATTTTTATTTCTCTTAGAATTGTCTTTTAACATTTTCAAAACATAAAACAATTACCTCAAAAGAAGTTTCCAACCTACTTTTAGATCACTTGCTTTAACATTAATATATCTTTTAAAAAATTGCTCCCTTTAAACATGTTGATTAACAGAAAGAGACTTTAGTTTTTCGAAAATTTCGTAGTCTCAACTTCTCGGAACGATGCCTGAATCGTCCGTCATTG